AAACTTGTTTATACCTGTCTGGAGAAGGAATGAATTTTATTAAAAATGTTTAGGCAGTCGGGCCTAGGCCTCCAATGAGGACACGTCAAGGGCTTGCCTCGACGCCACCTCATGGGCATGCGGGGTCGCCCGTGTTTGTTATTCGAGGGCGGAGCTCCGCAGAGTCTCACAGAGCCTCGACGATACGGTCGTTGTGTGAGTGTGTGTAGTGTGTCGGGCACTCCCACAGCATATGCGGAAGCGTTGCCGGATGAGTGCCGGAGCACCGGCAGCTGAGAGTAGTGTAAACGTCCGGGAATATGATGTGGAGGTGGGCAGGTGAGAGATACTTGTTGTTTTGCAGTAGACGCAGACTGGTGTGGTGGTGTGCGCCCGGCAGACCTTGGGGTGAGGCGTGGGGAGGGGCAGGCTCGGGGTCAGCTCTTTGGACCCCCGCGCCCCGAGCTAACGTCTTTAGGCCAGTGACACCACCGGACATAGCGCTATCTATTTGTGTCTGGGGGCGCTCATATTCTGTTTTGAACCTCGTATGTAGCGAACTTGCATATACGGGCATTATGGTATTACGAACATGTCTCACGAATCATGACATGAGAAATTCGGCATAATTTACTCACAAGAAAAATCGATATCATTCCAAGCATGCAGATGGCAGATGAAATTGTGTAATTTTTTATTGATGAAAATGTCACGAAAAAGACGCTATATATATGTGTAAATTTTGTACGCAGATATTCATGTTACAAGTGGTAAGCTGATACGTAGCGCTTGGGCTGCGTAGGCCAGCTTCAGTGCATCGCGCTCAAGTATGCAACATTCGTTAATTCGGCGTGACGATCATATATCAAAAGAGCACATATGTAATGCTTATAAAAGCTCACTAGATGTTTCGGCAAAATTATGCGTGCGAAAGTTCCTTTTTTGGAGCAGTTTTGAGACCTTTCGAGACACTGTGGTAGAATATTTGTTTGCCACGCACAACCATTGGGTTCCATTCCTGCTCAGATCCTGGTACTTTTAGGGGCGAAGCTCCCTAAAACGGCACCCGTTCATCTCTCGTACTAGTAGTAGTAGTAGTCGTAGTGTGTAACCAGCCTTATATTTTGACCTCAAAGGTGATGTAGGTGGGAGGTTTCTTCTGTGCGTTGTTGAACAATAAAAAAAATCGCAGCATGCACGTCAACTAAAAGCTGAATTATCCTGTCTCTCATTACCCCTTAGCAGCCATTTGCATGTACATTGAGCACTATTTGACTAGAAATAGTCGCTACGTTATACTCGCTGGGTGTAACCTCCTTGGTTTTAGAAAGGTTTTGCGAGCATTGGGCCGCAGTGCCATGAATACAGTGAACTAGTTTATACCATGAATTCGAGGGGGTTAAAGGAGGGAAGCAGACAAGAAGCGCAAGTCGTAAGAAAGTGTGTGTGTGCCTTCTCCTTGTTCAGTCCTTGAAATGTCCGCTGGATGACGGTGCTTCTATATGAGAGATATATGATGAAAAGATGCGAGATGGTAGTACTTGGAGTTTTGAATAGGTTGACGAAGGGACACACAGACAGATGCATAGACGGACGCACGGATGGCTGCGCGGACGAATGGACGCATGGACGGACGCAGGAGCGGATGCATGGACGAACGCAAGGACGGACGCACAGACGGACGTGCGGACGCACGAACAGCGCACGCACGCACGGGCGGATGGACGCACGGGTGGCCGCACAGACGCACGCATGGACTGACGGATGCTTCGCCTCACTTCCATCATTCACTCCGTGGATATGCAGCCATTTTTTATTCTTTGAATTCCCTGGGACAACACTGCCACTGTCAATATTTCTTGAAACTCTGAGATTAGAGCTACCGATGTCTGTTCTCGTAGTTCCTGGGTAGGTATAAATTTTCGATCACCTTCTGCGCATGCCCGCTAATCACGGCCCGTGGTATGTTCTGCACGTATGTGGAGAAAATGGTTTGTTGACGTAAGCGACAAGGTTTTCACGTTAATGATGTCATGATAAGTCAGATTTCTTTGTCAAACCCTCTTACCCTTCTATAGTAACTTTTGTCGACTTTACGTTAAGGAGGCCATCACAAGAGCACCTATATGTAGGTTGCTAGATAGACATAGATGGAAATGCTTAAAGCACCTGCTGTTCGCTAACAAATCCTTCGCATTTAATAACATGACATACAGTTTGCCCAGGCCATGAAGCTCTTTACCCAAACCATTTCAGGCGCATACTCTCATAACATGGCCCTAGCTACGAGAGAATGCAACACAGCTGACCTGGGGCCTATCTTGGCACAGCAGCAGCGAAAATAGGTACCAACAGTTTTGTACAATTTAAAAAAAGGAAGTTCAAAAAAAGGAAGATTCGCTGCACTACTACACATGTCACGGAAGCAAGCAAACGCAGTCAACTATTTGCTAAAATTTTCAGCAAGCAACTACGCAGCACAGTTTATTAATAGACATAATAAATATTACCAGCTGTAGTGATGGCTGTGTAACATCACATTATGTGGTGGTGCTTGTCTGATGTCAGTTGCAGTAGCGTCCGTTGCAGTCACGGTAGTGACAAGCCATATTAAATGCGAAGCATTTCTTTGCGAACTTCGGCGACTTTGAGCGTATCTATCTATCTATCTATCTATCTATCTATCTATCTATCTATCTATCTATCTATCTATCTATCTATCTATCTATCTATCTATCTATCTATCTATCTATCTATCTATCTATCTATCTATCTATCTATCTATCTATCTATCTATCTATCTATCTATCTATCTATCTATCTATCTATCTATCTATCTATCTATCTATCTATCTATCTATCTATCTATCTATCTATCTATCTATCAATCTATCTATCTATCTATCTATCTATCTGTTCATATATCTATCTATCTATCTATCTATCTATCTATCTATCTATCTATCTATCTATCTATCTATCTATCTATCTATCTATCTATCTATCTATCTATCTATCCACCTACGAGTTTTAACTCTCCTAGCCATTTCGATCGTGGTTTCGATACCAAATTTGGTATGGCATAACATTACTGTATGAAGAACATACTTGACTAGTCACAACATGAAAATCATGACATGTATGTCATGAATGTCATAACTTGCATTTCATGGTTCTGACGCTCTTACGCTGGTTTAGTTCACATGGCATGTTGCAAAACTGGTATGGTATGTCATGATTGCATGGCGAACACAAGTGACAGACCCTAACATGAAAATCATGACATGCGTGTCATGTAACAACATGGCTGCATGCCACACACATCATGCGCTCGTGGCCGTTTCGCTAGCGTCACATATACCGAATTCAGTATTACAGTAGGTGAATGGATAATGAAGGTATGTGACCAGTGGAAACATTAAATCATATGATGCATGTTATGTCACAAAATGACTACATGCTATGCTCATGATGCGCTAGTGGCCGTTTCGCTAGCTTCACTTATACCAAATTTCGTATTACAGAACGTGAATAGAGGACGAAAGTATGACACTGGTGAAAACATGATAAACATGAGATCCTTGTCTTGTAGCAACATGTTTACATGCTACGCTGATGGCGCGCTCGCGGCCGTTTCGCTAGCTGCAGATGTACCCAACTCGGTACTACGCCACGCGAACAGATGACGTAAGTAAAAGACACATCCAAACATGATGATCACGACATGCATGTCTTGTAAGAACATGACTACATGCCCCACTGACGATGCGCTCGCGGCCGTTTCGCTAGCATGACATATGTCAAATTTCGTATTACGTGACGCCAATAGATGGCGAAGGTACATGTCTGCAGTGCAAGCAGGATAATCATGATATGCGTGTCACATGAGAACATGAATACTTGCCACAGTCAAGGCGCCAATACACTTCGATGTGACGTGGTGCGCGTGCTCACTGGCGTTCATTTCGTCGCGTTACGCCGGCGTTGCCACGCCGGGCGCTGGTCCTGCCATATACTCGCAGGCGCGCGCCTTGCTGCGTTGCTTTCACGCGTGCGCGTTTCAGCGCGTCCGGTGTCCCTCCCTCACAGAAAGAGGGAGACGCAGTGTTGTCCGGGCAACGCATTGGCGTGAATTGTAGCATGTCGCCTTTCATGCCGGTTGCCGTCGGGCCACACCGATGGAGGCAGGTCGCGCCTGACGTCAGAATATAGAATGCTCACGTAGCGTCACTGTGCCCAGTGTGCGCGCGCGTCAACGCTACCTTGGAGTATATTTGGCCTTTTATGAAGCGCCCGCGGCCGTTTTGCTTGCTTCACTTATACCGAATTTCGTGTTATGTGACGTCAATAGATGACGACATATATGAATGATGCAAACATGATAATCCTGACACGCATGCCATGTGAGAACATGACAACATCCCACGCTCATAGCGTGCTCGCGGCCGTTTCGCTAACTTCACATATACTAAATTCGGTATCACGTGACGTGAATAGATGACAAATGTAAAGGACACATCAAGACTTGAGAATCGCGACACGGAAGTCATGTATGGCATCATTTATCTCCACCTTTTAAACCAGAACGTTGTTCTCGTTTTAAAGTGACATATCAACATTTCTTATTAGTACTTAACAAATCATCGCTTCCCTCTATACGTGGGATCTGCCTGTTTTTGTATACTGTCAATCGTGGTCGTAAAACAACCCCTCGTCCTTTACCAACGCGTACGCGCGCTTTTTACGCCAACGTAATCATCATTTATATATGACTCAGCGTGCTGTAGTCAGGTGCTGCGCATGCTCGAGGGAATTCATACACGAACGCTGCTCATGCTACGCACGTGAGAACACAGTGACATGCTCTTTGTGTCGACGAAACCGACCTTTGCATTCTGACGTCTATGACAACGTTAGTTAAGGTCACATTCTACCCTTTAGGCACCAACATAGGTAACGTGCGTTTCAATCCTGCGAGGTACACACAACTGCTCAACTTGCTTGATGACGTAAATGGACTCTACGACGCTTGGCTAAAAGCTAACCAATGCCCCATTTGCCGCTTTACTCTGACTGCTTGGGATGAAGCCATTCTGGAAGGCGCAGGTGCGTTTGTGGATTTTTTCTCTAGGCTACAATTATCCGTGCAAAAGTGAACAGTTAATCTCTCTTTGGCACTAAGACTACCGGTGATGCCCATGGACTCTTTGGCAGCTGAATCAGGTCATCGCGTAACGTTTTCTCGAGTTGCCCTTGTCTACAGGGCTTAGCGCCAGTATTGATCTTCATGTGGTTCTTTTCAACTGGCTAATGCAGAATCTTTTAGGGAGCTTTAGCAATTTTGTTGAGCTCCAAAAGTGACAGATGTCTCTGTGAAAATACGGTGAAAATTTTCAATAATATGTTTACCAGCCTTTGTGTTAGCATATTATGCCTTCTAGTCAATTTTTTTAACACCTTGGAAGACTTGGAGGGACCTAGAACGTAGATTCAGGAGCTAGGGCCATTCAGGTCTACCATATATTTCATGTGACAGGACACAGTTACTGCTTGTTCCTATATTTGCCTCAAGGTGGTGTGGTCTATAGTCTCAAGGCACTATGGTCGTGGTTAGCTGTTTGTACCGATGGTTGGAGTTGGTCGGTAGAGAGAGAGAAACAACTTTATTGACGGTAAAGCAAAGTCGGTAAATTCAACTTGCCTGCGGTTCGAGGAGTGGTGGCCAAAAGCTTGCCACGACCGTTTCGGCCCATTTAATCACTTCGTCCTGAAGACGGTGGTCAGCTGACGACAGGAGCGACTCCCACGCCTCGAGGGAGGAAGCAGGCAGTATTGATTTTTTTTGGTGGGGGAGGGGTAAGGGTGTACCTCACATTTCCAAACAAATGTGATTTTGGGTAGGTTTTAAACACCACCATTTCTTTTCCACAGTTTGGAAACTGCATTCTCAACACGATGCCAATTACGCGGCTAGAAGGAAGAGACTTCTTGTCATTCCCTACCGCGCTTTTCATGTTTGGTGTGTTTCAGGGTCAAAAAGCATTGTGGAACTGTTGCACAGAAACAAGTTGTCTTGAAGCACATTTCAGGGATGGCTGATAGTGGTCGTGTTCAGGGCTAAATCTGGGCAGTAAGGAAAATCATATCTTATAATAAATAAACGAATTTAATGAATCATTTTAAATGCGAAACATTTCTTAGTTATCTTCGGCGACGTTGAGCATATCTATCTATCTATCTATCTATCTATCTATCTATCTATCTATCTATCTATCTATCTATCTATCTATCTATCTATCTATCTATCTATCTATCTATCTAGTCGATTACAACATTTAGCTCTCCTGGCCTTTTCCATAATGGTATCAATACAAAATTGCTATGGCATATTATGACTGTATAACGTGCATAAGTGTCTAGTCATAACATGAAAATTATAGCATATATGTCATGAATGGCATGACTTACATGAAGGTCTTCCTGCTTCAGAGGTGGTTTCGTTCACATGACATGCTGCAAAACTGACACGGTATGACATCACTGAATAGCGAACACAAGCGACAGACCCTAACATGAAAATCATGACATGCGTGTCATGTCACAACATCACCACATGACACACTTATGATGCGCTCTCGGCCGTTTCGCTAGCTTCGCATATACCAAATTTGGCGTTACGGGACGTGAATGAATGACGAAGGTATGTGACTGGTGCAGACACGATAATCATCAAATGCGTGTCATGCAAGAACATGACTGCAGGCCACACTCTAGCCAGCAGTAAACTTTGACGTGATCCGGCTCGCATGCGCGGCCGCGTTCGTTTTGTCGCGTCGTGCCGACGATGCCACGCCAGGCGCCAATCTGTCTGCCATAGACTCGCAGGCGCGCGCCACGCTGCTTTGCTTTGACGCATGCGCATTTAAGCGTAGCCTACCGTCAAGAAGAGAGGCAGACGCGGTGCCGTCTGGGGATTGTCGTTGGCGCGAAATGCAGCATGTCACACATTGCGCCGGTGGCCGCCGGGCCGCGACGACAGACGCTGGTCGCGCGGGTTGCGCCTGGCGTCAGACTGTACAGTGCTCGCGTTTTGCTGGCGTAGCGTTGATGCGCCCAGCGTTCGCTAGCTTTATATATACCAAGTTTGGTATTGTGGGACGTGAGTGGACGGCGAAGGGATGCAACTGGCGCAAACTTGATAATCATGACATGCGTGTGATGTAAAACTGGGCTATATGCAACGCTCATAGCGCTCGTGGTCATTTCGCTAGTTTCACATATACAAAATTTGGCATCAGGCGACATGAATGGAAGACAAAATAAACAACACTCGAAACATGATAATTTTGCCAATGAAATCATATACCGCATAATATACGTCCGCTTCGTAAAGTTGTGCTGATTTTAAAGTAACATATCAACATTGCCCATTCGTGATTCGCATATCATTGATTCCCACTGTACGTGGGATCTGCCATTTTTTTATGAAAGGCGACGATCCGCACATCGAAGTAAGATATGCTTATAAAAAAGAAGAATCACTCTCGCAGCTTGCCGCTTCACAAATATAACTTTCGGTATTGTATTACCCAGACTTGAGTGCGGAATTATCCAAGTCATTCCGTCGCCACCTGGAGACGCTAATTCATTGTCTTCGACAGAACATAGACTACAGAAAGAGTTTTCAATAGCGTATAGGGCGTACCACATGTTGAAATTTTGATAGCTTTAGCTGATAGAGGCAGTGGAGCAAATTCTACCCAATTGATCCACGTACTGACTTGAGCGACTATTGCATGAACAAGAAATGAACGTGATTAGCCACGACTAAATAATGATGTGAAGCATATTAGGCCAAGTACGCGCATCTTCAGAACAACGTCTTGTTGTACAGTCATTAACCAATTACCTATCCGAAACTTCATCGGAAGGCACTAATGCTAAAATACCTAGCTTAGAAAAGCTTTAATTTACTTAACCCAACTGTAAATAGTTTTATCAGGTTAAGTTGAACATGCCATATTGTATATGTTAATTTTTATTACTGTTTCCTTCCTTATTCTGAAATTATTTAAATCCCGTTTTCCATCCCTATAAAGAGTAGTATGCCAGCGGTATATCGAAGCCACCAAAAATATATTTGTCTAATAATGAGTCTCTTCTTCCTCTGTCAATGCTACGAAATATATTATTTAAAAATACTAAGCTGAGAGAGTTCATGATCTATAGCATTTGGGAATGTCGCTGTTCCTTGTTTTAAAAAGATTACTGTGAGTCTGTCGCGCCAGCCCATTGAATGTGCGTACGTGTAGCAACGCTTGAAGTTCACACACGATGGGATGACTGAAATGAGGGTTAACGGCCTGTAAAGAGCACTCAGTGTATCGGCAGTGACTTTGTAGCTTCGACACGCATAATAGTCTGAACACGTGAAGGAATGCCTGCTCAAAGCACGTGAATGAAACCCTGCTCAAAGCAACGCTAGAGTTTTCGTTTACGAAGCAATATTCCCATGCACTTTTTACAAAATTCAGGTGGCTGACCTATCAGGAGGCTGACTTGAGAGTTTTATATGATGCTTCTGTAAGGAATGTGACCTTCTCTTCTATATTCGTAAGGTGCACAGATCTGGTCTCAATAGCTCAAAAGGTAAGTAATTTTTATAGCCACATCTATTTGGTTGTTCTTTAAGGTATAGAAGATAGATATTGTTATGAGCCAGATAATGTGCGTATTTTAAAAGGCCGTACAACAATTTTGGGGTATAGTCAGCCGACCATCCGTAGTCGAGGCCCCTAAGTTCACCCAAGAGAAATATCGGAGCACAGCATACGGCCTAGAGTATGGAATGAATTCTAAATCTGAGAAAAGTCGCTTTCTTGGCCACGAGTCACGAGAAATGACTTAGTAAACTCAAAACGACGTTGCTTCACAGGTCCTCCTGGAGAGCTCAGGTGTTATTAGGGCCGCCTCGGGAGGTGGCGACGTGGCTGCGAGTGCACGCGTCACTGCACTGAAATGCAACGCGTTCGAGAGAAAAAAAGGAGAAAACGTGCTCAAGGATACGAGGCTGGCATGACGTATCTTCTTCCCCTGTGACATTCCTTTCTGTTTGGATTCCAGCAGTTTAGTTGGTACGAGACAATATAGAAAGCAATTGCATCGTACGGCATATCTCGGTGGATTTTGTACTGAATGGTACTGTCGTCCATGACATGACCTACGGTGCCAGTGTAGCTCTCGCCAATCGGCTCGCCGTCCGCGATCTCCTGGTGCCGTGTTGCTCTTGCCGATTGCTGCCCCGTCCTCAGGTGCCATCGACTGTGCCTCGCATGTTTCCTCTATCTTCTCTCTCTTTTTTTTACATTGGCGTACGGCAAGTGTTTCATCTTCTTTGTGTTTCTACTATTCTTTTTATCCTCTTTCCTTTTCCCAATAATAAATTTTGCCGTGGCGCAGCGTTCCGCAGCAAAAATTTGCTTTTTAAAAAAAAAAAGACACTACAAGACTTAGCTACCCTTGTGCTGAATGGAATTTGAAAGCATTTGTGGTGGTCAATTAGTGAGACAATGGGCTCCTTTAGTGAATTCATTCTATGCCTACTAGTAAAAGCATCGCAGCGTCTTTTTAAGAGGATATCTACAATAAGGAAGGCCGCATAGAAGCTACCTAATGACTTAATTATTCTAGCCTTCCCTAGAACAGGGGAATGAAGGCCGCCCGAACACTATGGGTTTTCTGAAAAATGAAAGGGAGCACTAAACGCTGGTATGCCACAGTGCAGCATGTGATGCATATTTACCAGCATTGCCACTGCCAACGCAGTAGAATGGCAGTTGCGTTGGACATCCGGCGCTGATAAGAGCGAGAAAGCAAAAATAGAACTACTCAAAATATGAACAAGCGATATTGTCAAAAGCTATTGCAAATTTTAAATTTTGAAATTTCACATTACTTTCACGCACGTTTACACAAGAAGAAGGCCCACAATGAAATATCTCGTAACAGCTTTGTTTGTCCTTAGCCAACATAATGAACTGAATTATGAGACAATATGAAGCTGACAGTGAAAGCTGATGGCTCGCCGAGTTCTGTGTACCGAAGGTATTTTTATAGTCCAAGTGTTTTATAGTATTGAATAAAGCGCACAAAAAAAATTGAGTTTGTTTTTAGACGCTGCTAACGTATAAAACATAAAACACTACGGCTTTTCGCAACGAAGTCCGATAATATGGCGTCCATTAGACACTTGTTGCGGATAGCAAGGACCAGTATATTAAAGGAGGTACTACAGTGCGGTGCTTAGTCTTCGAAAACGAAGCGTGTTCAAGCTTCCGATAAAAAAAGTGGGCAGATTCCACGTACAGTGTGAAGCACGAATGAGGAAGGTTGGTATGTCACTCTTAAATCAGCACTATGTTACGAGTTAGTGGTAAATGAGGCCATACATGACTTACTTGTGATGATTATGATGTTTGGACGTGTCGTTCATTTTCGCCATCTATTCACGTCACTTCATATCAAATTTAGTATATGTGGAGCTAGCGGAACGGTCGCGAGCATGCTATGAGCGTGGTATGTTGTCATTGTCTTAAATGACACGCTTGTCAGCATTATCATGTTTGCGCCAGTCGTATACTTTCGTCATCCATTGACGTCACGTAACACCAAGTTTGTTATATGTGGACCTATCAAAATGGCCGCGAGCACATTATGAAGGGCCCAATATACTCTAATGTAGCGTAGACGCGCACGCACGCAGGGCAGTGACGCTAAGTTAGCAAAACGCGGGAACTCTAAGGTCTGACCCCAGGCGCGACCGACGCGACCAGCGTCCGTCGGTGCGGCCCGAAAACAACCGGTGCGAAATGCGACGTGCTCAATTCCATGCCGATGCCTTTCGTAGAACACACTGCGTCTCCCTCTTTACGTGATGGAGGGACGCCAGACATGCCGAAACGCACACGCGTCAAAGCAACGCAGCACGGCGCGTGCTTGCGAGTGTATGGTAAAAGTGGCGCCTGGCGCGGCAACGCCGGCGTGACGCGACGAAATGAATGTCGGCGAGCGCGCGCACCGCGACACGTCGAAATGTATTGATGCCTAGACTGTAGTATGTCGTCATGGTCTCACGTGACACGCATCTCATGATTATCATGTGTGCATCAGTCACATACTTTCGTCATCCATCGACGCCACGTAATACAAATTTGGCATATGTGAAGCTAGCGAAACGGCCGCGAGCACATCAAGAGTGTGGCATGTAGTCTTGTTGGTATATGACACTTTTATATTGCGGACATTTATTTTGGTGGAAGTCTCGAAGCTTGCGTTTTTCTCTTCCCTTATAGTTTGTTCTAAGCGAAGTTCGTTTGTGTTGAACTTTCTGATAGACTTTGCCGCCTGTTAAAAAATCTCTTTTGATTCCCAGTTAAGTATGTCGGCTTGCTTAGGTCATTCGGCTTCCATTATCACGTCATTGACGTAGATGCTGCTCCTCAGCTGTTTAATCGTCTCCGGAAATTTTTCCTCCAACTTGCTTAGGTTGTGTTGTACTGTTGCTGTGAGCGAGAAAGTGCTAAGAGCAGTGCCAAACGTCACTCTTGACGTTCTCCATGCATGTTACGACTTTGGAATCGCTTCAAACTCAGAATTATTACTCACGAAAAAAACGCTGTTCGTCTTTGTCTTTCTCATATATTGAAATGCGTAATAGTGCCTTCTGATAATCAGCTGTCATTGCAATGTGATGGTGCGGAAAGTTCATCGGAATGTGCACGAGATTACAATTGAGGTTCGGTCCAGTTTCGAGATTGTCATTTAGAGATGCCCCTTTTGTGGACGATGATGACGCATCAAGTAACATACTTATCGTTGTCATTTGACGATTTTAACAGATGATGGCTTGGTGTAGCATGTAGTAGCAGTGTGTCATTGGTGCAATTCGTTCCTGTGCCACGTCTGCCCCTCCGCTATTCAAGTACTCTATAATGACACTCTCATAACGTCGCTGTATACTTTCGTGCTTCCGTAACGTTTGAGTGAGTTGCTTCAATCTCGTCATTGCGACACTTTTCTTTTCATCAAGCTCCACGTTATTTTTCCGAGGGAGTCGTACTCAACATCTTTTCTCTGTGCGAACGCAGGCGACCTGAAAGGCTAACTCTGACAATTTTTCAACCACATGTCAAGGTAATGGCGTTTCTATCTGCATGGGAAATTTTTGTCACGAGCCCATTACCTAAAATGCTGAGGAAATTTGAAAATAATTTTTAGTGAGCAAAAAGATGCAATACCAAAACCAAAAACCCGACCGGGTGCCCTGTCTGCGTATCATGTACTACTTGGTAAGAACCGGAGGCCGTATACTGGTCCCGCTGACGCGGAGTAGAAAAACTGTGAAAACCGGACCAGCGAAGCGCCGGCCAAAGAGCACAAAGAAAGAAAAAAGGCATTCCCGTGCTATACCCGTGCCAACATCACTACCGTCACCTTGTGGCCAGCACAGTAAAGGCTGTAGAGGCCAACGTAGCGATGCCATCGGCTGCGTCACTTCTGTTGACATGCCAAACATGACGTTACACAGACATTGTTGCCAATAGTTCTGGCAAGCAAAGTGAGCTTTTTCAGGCATGTTTTAAAATTTATTTGTAAACAATCGGTGCATCTCTCTAGCATGTATTGTGGCATTAATTACAGAAATGTACGAAGGAACGTACCCAGATAATTTTATTGAGATTCGTTAACTTGAAAAATCGCCAGATTTGGCACACAATTACAACATGGTGCTGCTGTCGGACGTCTCGCCACCTGAACCTTTCGTCAACAACAGTATCAGGTCACCATAGCTTAACAGAGCTTCACCATGAAAAAAAAAGAGGTTACTTTTTATGAGCTCATTTATACCGCACTTATACTGGTATGACTACGTGAAGCCTTAATGCAATGAATTCCTCCTTTTACTCTGGAACTGGTTTTGCTTTCTTTGCTATTGTTAATAACAAGAACATCTAAATAAGTGAGGCAAAAATAGTAGCAATAAGGCGCCAGGGTACATAGTCGTTGTTTTACGTTATAAGCGCCATCAAAGAAGAGCTGAGCACATTCCACTTGGTCGAACATTTTCTTGCAATACACTAGCATGTCTGTTTTTGTTTTCGCTGTTGCCCTGACTACCTTCGCCATGAGGCTTAAGCTGAAGTTCAAAAATTGAAAGCCTTTTGAGGCATGAGTGAGGAGAAGATTTTGTGAACAAGTTCAACTGATTTAAAGGATATCCTTTAAAGCCGAATGAATTCGCTGCATTTCACAGACGGTGGTTTACTTTTAAAGAATCAAACACAAATTCTTTCACCTACAGGCTCCATTCTAAAAGTTCGAAGCTCGAATGAAAGACCTTTCTTACACGGCTGTTACATAGAGCATCGAATGTTCTCGAAATATGGCTTCGATGAGAGGTGTTGGGACTCCGGGTCCTGCCGGTCTCGTTTTCGGTAGCTGGCCCCGTCGCAGGATCCATCGTCCAACAATTCAGCGAGAAGAAGCGCCCGAACGAACAACAAAGATTTATTTACATGTGGAGAAGTGGTCAACTGACCCAAAGAGAGAAGAGTGCGTGTGATACAAAACGTCTTCGGCATTTTATAGCG